TGTCTTTCAACAGAGGAATAGGTTCAGAAAATGTGGTTTATTTACACAATGGAGTACTACACAGCTATAAAAAACAATGACTTCATGTAATTCTTAGGCAAATGGATGGAACTAGAAAACAGCATCCTGAGTGAGGTAACCCAGTCACAAAAGAACACACATAGTATTCACTCACTGATAAGTGAATATTAGCCCAAAATCTCGGAATACCCAAGATAAAATTTACAGACCACATGAAGCTCAAGGAGAAGGAAGATCAAAGTGTGGGTGTTTGGTCCTTCTTAGAAGGGAGAACAAAATACTTATGGAACAAATATGGAGACAAAGTGTGGAGCAGACACTGAAGGAGGGGCCATTCAAAGACTGTCCCACCTGGGACTTCATCCCATATACAGTCACCAAACCCCGACACTATTGTGGATGCCAAGAAGTTCATGTTGACAGGAGCCCAATATATCTGTCTCCTGAGAGGCTCTGCCAGAGCCTGACAAAACAGAGGCAGATACTCACAGCCAACCATTAGACTGAGCATGGGGTTCCCAAGAAAGGAGTTAGGAGCTGAAGGGGTTTGCACCCCCATAGTAAGAACAACATCAACCAACCAGACCCCCATAGCTCCCAGGGACTAAACCACCAACCAGAGAGTACACATGGAGGGATCCCTGGCTTCAGCCGCATATGTAGCAGAGGATGGCCTTGTTGGCATCAATGGGAGGAGAGTCCTGTGAAGGCTCTATGTCCCAGTGTAGGGGAATTTGAGGGTAGGGAGGCAGGAATGGATGGGTGCAGAAACACTCTTATTGAAGTAGGAGAGGGGCGATAGGATAGGTGTTTTTTGGGGTGGGGAGGACCAGGAAAGAGGATATTTGAAATACAAATAAAGAAAATATTGAATAAAAAAAAGAAAGAAATGGCAACATAAAATTCATAGGTAAATGGAAAGAGCAAGAAAAAAAAAACCCGAGTGAAGCAACCTAGACCCCCAAAGGCAGATACTGTATCTTTTCCTTTTATGTGTAGCTAGCTTCAAGCATTTGATATGTGTGGTACAATCCAAATAACCACAGTGCTTAGGTACTTAGTAAGGGAGTAGGGAAGAGAAGAGAATCTCCCGAAAATAGTCTTTTATAAGTGCTTGGCACTAAACTTAGGGCTTGGTGTGTGTCACTTAAGTTTTCTCACCGGTGAGTTCCTGAACCCAGACTGAAGAGAAGAGAAACCAAGAAATTAGTTAAGTGTAGATATTTCTTTTGGGATGGTGGCGGGATTCTAGACTTACAGGTGGTTCTATAAGATTAATACACTTAACATACTGAGTTTTATATCCAAAGCGATAAAAAAATTATTTCTGTGTCACAAAATTTCAAGACAGTAAGAAAAGTCCTCCAAAGCACAGGGCACATAGTCTGTTGAATTTTATTTACCCTGCAGTCCTCAAACCAGGAATCTGGGTTCACCTGAAGGAGTTCAGGGGTCCTTATCCTACTACAGAGAGATGCTGGAAGGTGAGTGTCTCACGTTCAAAGTGAATTCCCTATCAGTTTTGGATTGATTAGTATTCTGGGGGTCACCAGAATTAGCAATAAGATAGCATATAAAGTTCTATACCAGTTTGGAGTTTTAAAAGTATGCATCCTACATCTACATGGTGGGCATGCGAGGATGATCACACCTTGCCTTGCGAATGAGGAGTTTGGCTCTGGTGTGAACTGAATGAAGATGCTCTGATGTCCTGCTCTTAGGTACCAGTTAGCTATGAGCTATTTTGGTAACGCAAGAAATAAGCTAAGATAAAAGCTATAAACTTCTTTGTATTTTTAGTACTTATATGAACTCTTCAGATATAGTCTATAATTTCACTTCCTAGAGACAGTATTCCTGTCTTAAAACAAAAATCAAATTGTATTATTTAACTCCAACGCAAAGAACAATTTAAAAGTAATCTTTGCCGTTCAGCTACTGTGGAGTCTCCCAGGAGATATTAGTGGAGGCTTCAAGGCAAATAACTCTTGCAGTGCTCCATAGTGCCTTGCAATACCCAGGGCATTTGCTTTAGGTAAGCAGTGTTTTTGCAGTATAATTTCATCTGCTTTTTCAAGTTTGTGATGCACTTCTCTTTTTTTTCAAGTCCAAAAGAACAGTTTCTTAGTAACTTCTGCTACTATTAAAAAGTTGGGTTTTGTGGCATATACACCAACACTGTTCCTCTTTGGGCGTTTCATACTTCACGTTTCTGGAAGCACATGATAATTGCATACAAGTTTTGTAATGACAAGTGTCTGGAATTGTCATGACCAAATGTTCAGTCCCGGACAGCAGCAATCCTGTAGATGTGCAGAGAGGGCTCTGAAACTGTCAAGTCCCTTCACTAGCTATGTGACCAGGGGAAAGACATTTGACCCTGTGTGCTTCATAAAGTTTATTCACCCTTAAAATGTTGTTAGCAGTGACATTTACTTAGATAATTGTTATTTGAATTAAATATGCTAATATTTATAAAGAAATTAGAAGTGTTAGCCTACTACTTTAATAATTGTTTAGTATATAATAAATTACTTAGGATCCTGTATTTTGTGATTTTATATTTATTTTTCTCATGTGTTAAGTAGAGCTTTTGTAAGGCTAGGCATGGTATCTCAGCTCCCAGGAAGTAGAGGGCAGGAATATCATGGGTTCCACAGCTAGTGAGAGACATTAGAAAAACATTTTTGTGAATGTTGTTGATGTGTCAATAGCACTGATTTATTGGAAACTAAAGTTTTAATTGTAATGTTGTCAAAATGGTTCAGTGTATAAAATGTTTGCCATGCAACCATGAAGACCTGAATTTAGATCCCCAGAGCCCACACAGAAACAAAAATTCTGTAGGTGTAATGACCACCTATAATCCCAGAACCCAGGAGGTAGAGGACATTTGGGACAAGCTGTCTAGCTTGTGATCTAGAGAGGTTCAGCAAGAGACCCCATCTCAGTGAGTAAAGTGAAAAGTGACGTCAACTTAGGGCCTCCATACTCATGCCCAGGTGACCACACACACACACACACACACACACACAGGCACAGAGGCACAGGCACAGAGGCACAGGCACAGAGGCACAGATGCATGCATGCATGGATTCACACACATGCATATGCACGCACACATGTAAAGTAAAGGTTGGTATAAGTCGCTGTTTACTGCATCATTCCTGATGCATTTTTCAGAGGCTGTAGTAGCTCCAACCGGTGTTGACTAGTGAGGGTTGATCAAGCACCTTAGTTTATTTTGCACCTTGCCCTACATAAGAAGAGAAGCTTTTTTTTTTTTTAATGGCAAAACATATCAGATTAATCATTAAGACATCACTAGCTCTTGACATCATATTAATCCATATAAATTACCCTAGTGATATTAAGAAAATAATTTATATAATCTGTGATGTGAGAAATCAGTTGTTTCATTATTCATCACCCATTCTGGAATTTTGATTGAATTTAGTTTGTTGTGTATTATTTTACTGCTCTATTAACTTAATGATTGGAGCAATTATTTATAGTTTGTGATATTAGGTAACAGATTTAGTAGGTATTATTATTCATGATGAAGTAATGTTTATGGATATTATGGAAAATTCTATTTTAATCTGAATGTTGTTTGCAGTTTGATTATAATGAATTCTTTTCTTTCTCTTAAGATTCATAAGAAAGAACTGTAAATTTATTTTCCCATTAGTATAGATGTAGCATAATTCTCACATTGTTGTACACAGAACAGACAGCTGACAGCTCTTGCCTCTCGTTATGTTTTTTTTATCTGTTCATTTATGATATCGTCTCTAGAGGATTCCAGTGTCCAGTGAAGGAAATGAGACAGCGGACACTCCCCTGTCATTTGTTTAAGACCACAGCTAATTCCTGGTCTTCTATTGTCACATCTGTGATTGAAAATTTATCATGCATATCTTTGTCCTGACTTTACATTGTTCAAGTCTTGCTATAACTTTGACTTTGGATGCTATAGTTAATTTCCACATATATACATATATATGTTAAAGTCCATCTCTATCTATCTATCTATCTATCTATCTATCTATCTATCTATCTATCTATCTATCTTTCTATCTATCCATCTATCTATGGATTTCCTTGGCCATTCATCTCCTGCCCTGTAGATTGGACTGGGAAAACTCCTATCAAGGCTTTCACAGGAGAAGCTAATATGGATGCTTAACTTATATGTAATTCACAGTTTTCAAGGCTTGGCATTAAAAATGAGACCTGAAATGGCATAGATTTACTTATAGTCTTTAATATTAATATAGTAAATATTCATACTTTTATTGTATAAAAATTAATGTTAGCATCTTGATGGAATTGTCACACAGTATATATACTATCTTGTCTTTCTAAAATCACAAAGTGGGAAAAATATCACATAGTCAGAAATATATTTGGCTGCATGGTTACATATAACTTGTAACCATAAGCATTGACTTTGTCTAAGAATATCAAGTTTTGACTTAAGAATATTTTACATGTGCTTTAGTCATGGTGGATCAGTGATACATTGTACAGTTAGGCTCCATGGCTCTTTACCTTTGAAACAAACGCTACTGTTAATGTGGCTTGCCAAGTTCTCCATGACAATCGTTAGCCAAAGGCTCAGGATGCCGAAGCGGCTGCTTCTGTATCACATATTTTAAAGAGATATTTTCTTGGCTCCACATGTGCTTTCACATACCAATAATTGATTGTTAATATGAACCAATAAACGGTGACGTGATGCTTGAGTTCACGGAGGAGAGCATGCCACATGATACTAATCTCATGTGTTTGTATCTGTGTGTTCAACTTGCTGAAAAGTTCAATCTTAGGATGAAAATTTTTGTATGAATTGTATCATTGTGATAGCAACAGTTTTCAGATCAGATAGGTAAAGAATTAGTTGTACAATCCTTTCTTGAGTGATGTTGACATTAAAGTTTTTGCAATGATCTAATTTTTTTAACTACCTTTTTTAGGTATTTGCTACCAGGAAGTACCCAATTCCTCATGAGGTCACCACTGTACAACATGAAATATAATTCACCCGGAATGACTCGCTCCAATGTTTTGTTTACGTCCCGATATGGCCGTTTGTGAAGGAAGATTGCCCTGGGCTGTGCATAATAGCAATTCATTTATTTCCTCCAGTTGAACCTTAAGGAAGCGACCCTTATATGCTGTTTTATGTATATATGTCATATAAGTGTGTGAAGTACATACACACACATGCACTCAAGTAACATATAAATATATATATTTATTATATGTAAGAAGAATTAGCAGAAAACTGAATATAAGATTTAACCTTTCTGGAAATGTAATAAACCATGTTAAAGTTGTTTACACAAATACGCAAATGTGTAGAATTTGCTAGGTTTATAATTAATTACTTCCTACTAGAAATGTTATTTTTGCTGCAGAATTCATCCTAAAGATCCCATCACGGTGTTATAAATTATTTTCTAGATAATAGGGCTTTCGACTTGAGGAAACACTGATAGTGTCTTACTACTTCTCTAACTATTAGTAGTTATTTAACAGTGAAACATAAGACTTAGATGCCTGGGGCTGGCCTGACTAGAGGACTAGGATAAGACGGGTTTGTTGTTGCTATAGCACACTGTAAAGTACTAGAAAATATCCCAGCCTGATTCTCCATTTTACTCCCTTTGATGGGAATTTAGCTGCTTGTTCTAGTATCAATAAAGATCTGGTAAGATAATGGAATCACGCAAAAATGGGAGGCAATCCAGTGGGTTAAGAATAAAATGTAAACTTGCTTTAATTTGACTTTTCATGGGGGGGGGTCCCATAGAGAAACAAGACAATGGCAGTAACAAATTCTGATGTGCGACTTCTGTGTCACTTTTCTTTGGAAAGTATATCATTGATGTGCTTAAGTCTCTCAGCTTTGAGACCAGTTTACCTTGCCAAGTCCAATAACAGTAGTTTCCCATTTCACCTCAGAGAAGAACCCAAAGACTCTGAAGAGAAGACTCCAGTGAGCCCAGGTCACTGTTCATTGGTGTAATCTGGAGGGAGTCTTTATTCAGAGTTCAGCGTGAAGCTGTCTTCCTGTCCAGAGGCTTCATGCTTGTGTTTCAGAGCAGCACACCCCATTCTCCCTCGTCTTCCCTGCCATCTAGAAACCAGTGTACGCTCTCGGTTTTCCATACAGATAGAGACCATACCCTATGGATCTTTGGACTCAGAAAGTACAATATTTGCTGAAACTTCTCTTTAGTGGTTTTACTAACATATGTTAAGTTTTTGTAAAACTCAGAATACTCGCCACCTTCTCGTATTTTTACATCTGATTCCTGTAAATGAAGAAGGGACTCCAAAGCACCAAGAGTTCATTCGGCCTGCTCTCGTTCAAAGCTGGATAGGTGATGACCCAAAGATATAAGACTGAAGTATTCTGCTTTAAAAACTACCTTTGGAGAGTATGCTTTTTACTGTAATATTCACTTTTTACACATTACTGGCAGCTACTTCTGGCTTCTTTCTGGCTGCCTACACACACGCATTCCAGCAGAGACTTTTCTTACTGGAAACATCCCACAGAATTTTGTCTCATGTTTTTGAAAGAGAATAAAGCCTCCAGATAAAGAAGATGAGTGTGGTATTTAGGAGTCCATATTTTGGATTCTTCAACATGACATAGAGAGTTCTTAGAATAAATGATGCAAATACTGGAACGCTTCAGAATCTTTATGTGAATAATAAACAAATCAGCCCCCTTTGGGCTTTATTTGTAGCCACATCTTCTTTTAATTTATGATGTAAAAGAAATCACGGAGGAATAAAAGAAAAAACAAAAAAAATCATGGCTATGTCACTTAAAATGATTGGTAAGTGATGCCAACTAGTTTGTTGGCCATTCACTTTGTTTGTCTTAAATCACAAATGATCATTTAATCGGACAGAGTATCCACTCTGAAACTTCTATCAGGTACTAGGAAGGAAGTTTCATTAAAACGGGGGAGGGGAATGTCCACCCCCCCGTTTTGAGATTTTTAGGAAATCTCACCCTAAAAACATAGATTAAAGGCTAAGAGTAAGTGTAAATACACAGAATTGCCAAGCATTTGTGAAAACAACAACATTTCCTTGTCTATCCAAGCAAAGCCTTATTTTGTGCACTGGAATCTCATTGCCTACATGTTCCTGTTGGGGCAAGTTGGGTAGGATGAAGGTGTGCAGAAAGCCACGTGCTCGTTATTCATGTACATCACCTGGTGTGCTGTGGACTGTGGTTGTCATGGCACCATCTCCTAATGAGCAGCCACGAGAAGACATGATAATGAGCCGGGAAGTCCCAGGAGGCCATAGACAGGTATTAGAGGTATAAAATATTCCTTAGTTTTTGTTATCAATTTTTTATGCATATGCTTAAAACATATCTGCAGTAGAGACAGTATGAATCTCTCTCTAATAGAAGAGAAGAGAAAGAAAACTCCAGAAGCCAGTTAATCGTACCAGGGTTTTTTTTTTCTTAGAATGGATTTTGGTTTACCTACAAGAAAGGGGATAAGTATAGACCTGCAGTATAGACCGCTGCTTGGTCCATCTCCAGGTTGGAATGCATCCCCAAGCTAATATATGGGTGTTCCCCCAATTGTCTAAGTAGTAACTTGCTTGTTTTGTCTTCACCTGTGAACAGAATCTAAAGGGACAGTTTAGTTCTCACTTGAGTGAGCCAGTCTTGAAGGTTTGAGTTTGTTAAAAGACCCTGTTGCAATATGAACATAGCTGTAGATGGAGACAGGGTGAAGCAGCTCTGCTGTCTGTAAGATGCAAGGGTTCGCCTAAATTAGATCAAAGTCTTTGTTACTCGCCTCTGAAGTTCAAACCGAACCAAAACCAAAGCCCTTTCTTTCACCTAACATTTACGCATACACAGAGAATAAGTGCCTCCTACACATCATGAAAATGACTTTGTTCAAATTATCTCGTTAGTTTGGAAAGTAGACCAGAATGGGATCATGCTGATTTGAAATTTTAGATATTTGAATAGAAATTCAATGCTTTCTTTCTTTAACATGTCATTGTTATCCTGTGTAAACATCATCTTCAAACGGAAACATATGCTATACACACTATTCAAAAATACCAAAAAGATAGCTGCATACATGCCATTACTTAACCTCCTATAAAGCATTTATTCATTCTTAATAATATATATTCTTTTAAAAATAGTGAATACCTCAAAAGTGACAGAAAATTCTTTCCTTCTCTATTTAGCAATTGCTAGTTTACATTCCAAATCTCATGTACTTGGTTCTAAGCATTAATCTACAATAAAAATATAACTATACAATTAACGTTCTTGTGACCCAGTGGTTTTTGGACATTTGCTTTTCTCTTTAAAATGAGAGCTCTAAGTGTAAAGGGCCATGTTATCTACATATTAATTATTAGGTATTTAATTGTTTTGAACTAATGTTGGCTTGTAAGTAAATGAAAACCGTAGAAATATATTCATAAAGCAAATGATTCCTCGTACTGCTTTCTCTCTCTCCTGTTCTTCAAATTCACTTTGAAGCTTTAGCTGTGCATGGACAAAGTAAAGAAAAGAGAGAAATATTGCCTTTTGAACACTGGTCTTCCTTGAATTTTTATAGTGGTGTGTTTTTACTGGAGTAACAATAAAACTTGGATGAAATATTGGCTCAGTTCTGTTTGCCGAGAGCTTTCGGAACAAGGTTGAAGTCTGTACGCCTAAAACACACAGTGTGTGTCCATGTGACGTGAGATGCACTTGAACGGTTGGTCCTGCCACAGAAATCGATGTTGAAATGGCACCTGTTGAGATTGCTTCTATGTTTGAGGGTCTGCCATGAGGTAGTATATGGTGTATTGGAAGAAATTTACCCAGGTAATTCACTGTGATACTAAGAGGGGTGTGTCACCTAAGAAGATCTGTGAAAGACTTCTGCTTTATCACCACCAATGAACTTGAAAGCTCTTGCTTTGACAAGCACATCACTCAAAAGACCAATGGTTCCTAGATTAGTAAGGAGGCTTGCCTTTGAAAAGTGGTCAGATAATTATTCTATTTCCTTCAAAAGATATCAGCCATTTTTGGTCCATGAGTTCATATAACAGCTGCTCTGTTCTACATGCTGTAGCATTTGAATTTTAGCAGAGTCTGAATGTATGGGTGAGAGAACATATTTACTAACATGAATCATGGGTCAGATTATCCCTGTGTGCTTTGCTTCCTGTATATGAATGCAAATGTTACAAAGATCCGCTTGAAATGTCAACAAAGTGTGCGGTTGGCATTGCCATGGCATGCTGTCCCATGTGGCACCTGTATGGTGAAACTACTTCAATTACTATAATAAAAAACGTCAACACGAGAACCCTATGGTATGTCATTATTCAGCTTGGTTTTACACATGCATTTGCACACACAGTACTGATTTCAGTAGTAGAAGAGATGGACAACCAGTTAACCAAATTGAACTGAGTTTTCATTTGACCATTGACATTATTTTCACACTAATTTTTTTTTCTGCTGCTGTGTACTCTAGGGGATAGGGCCACCTGCTGTTAAAAGTCAGGTCAAGAAAGTAAAATTGTCAACTTCTCTCCATTGGATGGGAAGATGGGAAGACAGGGTGCTCTAAAAGTCAGTAGCAACAGTTTAATGTGATTACATAGTGTAGCAATTATATTGTCTCAGGCATGAAGTTCATGTTTTAGGGATTTAGATTTTACCATTTGCTAGCAATATTCAAAGTGTCAAAATGGACATTTTGTCTTGTTGCTGCTCATCGCATTGCTCTTTGAGATGTTCATAACAAATTTGAGATGATTTCCCTTTATTTGTTTGATTTGCTGGAGAAGGAACTCAAAGCCCCATGTACAGTTGGGAAGGAATCCACATTGACCTGTACCCTTCGACCAGATGGATTTTCTTTAATGAAGGGATTCAGTCATGTAGTGGGTAATTTAACACAGACATGCTTTGACTTCTCTTATTGACAACCACATGGTATAGAAATGGCTATATGTATCTGTGTTTATGAATGCGTGCTTCTGAATATGTGCATGTATATGTGCAAGTGTGTGTATATATATGTGCATGTGTATGTATATGTGTATGTGTGTATGAGTGTATTGTATGTATATGTATGTATATGTGTGTATATATGTGTATATATGTATGTGTGTATATGCTTATTGTGTATACGTGTATATATGTGTGTATATGTGTGTATTATGTGTGTATGTGTGCATGTGTATATGTGTATGTGTGTATGTGTGTATGTGTATATGTATATATGTGTGTGTATATGTGTGTTTGTGTGTATAGTGCATATGTGTGTATATGTGTATATGTGTGTGTATGTGTATGAGTTTGCCCACACTCTTATGTTGCAGATACTGGAGAGGGTGTTCTTCATTCTTCTTTATCTATTCCATGAGACAGATTCTCTCAAACACATCATTTAGCAGATCTTTTTTTTTTTTTTTTTTTTTTTTAGCTAGGCTCCGTGGCCAGCAAGTTTAAGGGATCATCCTGTCTTCTCCACTTCTGTTCCCTCTAAAAGTGTTGGGGCTAGAGGTATACAGGCCATGTTCGGCTTTCATGGAGGATCCCCATAGCTGTGCAGCAAGTGATCCTATCCACTGGGCCCTTGTCTCCCCAGCCCCCAAAGTTGACTTTGAAAATACGTTTAAAAATCAACACTAATTTTATAAAAAAAATTATAAAATAAATTTTTTTTAGTGATGGGAAAAGATGATGCCAATGTATGTTGCTTACTATCTGCCCGTTTTTATCAAAGAAAGCATCATGTATCAAACTGCACACATAGAATTCACAAATATAATTCAGTTTTATTAAAGGTCAAAAATCTTTAATTGCAAAATAAAATAGCCCCCAAATAATTTATGATATTAGAAAACTAAATGTATCATATTCAAAATGAAATGAACCTTAAGGTCTTTTGTCAGCGATACAACAAGTTTAAACTAATTTGGAGCTTTTAGTGATTATCCCTATACATGTACAGAGGGTGGTGGCAACAGTGTCTATCACCTTGGTGTGGCAAAGCTGGAGAAGAAAATCATGAGTGCAAAAGTCAGACGTATTGTACGACTGTCTAGACCTAAGCTGATTGAGAGGGAGCACTGGGAGAACAGGTAGGAGGCTCAATGCTCACCTCACACCAGTGAGTCCCTGCATGCAGACTGCCATGGCAAAAACAAACCAGACAAAGTACAAGGAATTGGGGTTGGGGGAAAGAGCCTAGAATATGCTCTGGTTCTACACAAAGCTCAGCAGGGTATCTTGTGCTGCCATGTGTTTTCCAAAACTAGTCTTCTATGAAGACAACTTTGAAAAAGAGCTAAACCAATCTATGCACTAGTAAATACTCAAGGCAAGTGTATTCCAGTAAGCAATGACGTTATGTTTACAGGCATGGAGAATCAGAACTGGTGCAAGAAATTTACTAGACCTTGTCCCTTGAGATTTGGCCATTTACAGAGACCATTTAAACCTGAGTTTTCAAAAACAGTAGCTTGAATCCAGTAAGTATGGCCAGAAATAAAATAAGCTTCATGGTACACAAGAATCAAGCAAGACATTTGAACATAACTGTGATATGTAAAGTAAAACACTTTAAGTATCCTGTCAGGATGCCATCAGAATGGCTAATGAGACATTCACCATCTATTGGGTCCTATGTGATAAAGGCTTTTGTCTTTAATGAGATTCCAGCTTTATTCATTGGCAGCCAAGAGCTTCACATGTTATCTTGGTGTGTATCTAGAAGTACTTGACGGCCACGAGAAATGATATTCTCAAACAAAGGGCCTGCCGCTCATGGAGGAAAATGGAATTTATCCAAAGCTTGTCACGTTATTTGTGAGAGACAATATTTATCATGTCAGATGTTTTCCTGTGCCTGTTTTATTTAGAGAAATGCAGGGGCACTTTCCTTAGTAAACTCTGTCGCACTTGTCTTATGCTGTGCAAAAATACTGTGGAACTATCTCTTTTTAACAATATGACATAATCACCCTTGGTTGTATCTAGGGAGTCTAACCTAAAATGTGATATCATGGCCTAAGCTGAAAAATTAAGCATTCTTTGTTAGGTTTTAATTTTTAATTGTGTGTATGTATGTGTGGGTGTATGTTCACATGAGTGCAGGTGAGCAGAACTCCAGAAGAGGGCGTCAGATCCCCTAGAGCTGTGTGGGTGTATGTGGGTATGTACACATGAGTGCAGGCACCCAGAGAAGACAGAAGAGGGTATCGGATTCCCTGGAGCTGTGTGGGTGTATGTGGGTATGTTCACATGAGTGCAGGTACCTAGAGAAACCAGAAGAGGGCATCAGATTCCCTGGAGCTGGAATGAAAGGTGATTTTGAGCTGACTTTCATGGGTTTTGGGAACTGAATTCAGGTCCTCTGCAACAGCAGGAGGGCTCTTCCCTGTTGTGCCATCTCTCCAGCCTCCTATACGGAAGTATTTCATGCAGTTCCCAAACATACTGATATTAACATGGACTGGGTAGCAAATATCTTGGGGGACACTCACCTTCTTCAAACTATCATTTCATGATTATCTTCAATATCAGAGTCAATAATAGAAACTCAGAATATGCGTAAAGGAAGCAGCCCTAAGAATGAGTGCAAGTGGAGACACATCCTTTGCATATTCAATCAGTTCTGGAATAACAAAACTTTCAAGGGTAACCTCGAAGCATATGCACCTAGTCAAGCTCTGTTGTAGAATGGCTGTTGTGTTGCTTGCATTCGAACAAGATCCTCTCAAAGATCAAGAATGGAATTAATTTTGAAACCTGCAGCATGCTGTTAGCAGTAAAAATGTTAATCTGCGTGTTTATAATGCATCTGACTTAGAGGAAAAGTCTATGACACAGTATATCTGAAAGATCGAGAATATATAAACCTTAATACATTCTAAGAAAATACCATTTCAGCATATTACCTCATTTTCATTAAAATGATAAAAATGTGAATACAGAGAATCACTTAGTCCTCAGGCTAAAAATAGGTAGATCATCAAAATCTAATATCATTTTAGCTCAAATTGGTATTTGTTCAGTAAATGTTCTACTTCGTAATGTGAAAAGTACAAAGGGAAAATTCAAATTTGGGCAAGAAATAGGGCTTTAAAAAGCAAACAGCTAATTCTATTGTTCTGCCTTCCGAAGCTGAAGCTAACGGCTTGCCATGAAATGTTTATTGTGGAAAAAGAACAAACAGATTCCCCCCGAAGTGATCTTGAGTTCATCTCGTTCTACAGCGTCTTAGCCTCAGGTTCTTCAGCCAAGTCTTGCTTATATTTGATCTTCGAATTATGCTCATTCTACTCACTTCCACCATTTCTCAGTGAAGCACAGCTACCTTATCTCAAAAGAAAAAGAAAGGAAGAAAGAAGAAAGGAAGGAAGGAAGAAAAGGAAAGAAAGAAAACGAAACCAATCTTGCCGACTTTGATTGTCTTAACTAGAATAGTGAGAGCTCACAGACATCTGAGCGAGCAGAAGTGGGAACATCCTGCTGGTTAGCATAACTGTCACCTTAAGACAACCTAACACTACCTGGAAGCCAGTCTCATGAGGAACTGTCTACATTGAGTAGGCCTGTGGACCAGCCTGTGGGCCAGCCTGTGGACCAGCCTGTGGGCCAGCCTGTGGGAAACTGTCTTGTTGCAGAAGCATCGAGTTCTAAGTAGCAACACTGTTTTCTAGGGAGGGAGCCCCGAGCTGTGTTAAGAAAGGAGAAACAGAGCCAACCACAAGCCTGCATGTGCTTACCTTTCTGCTGTTGACTGTAGGTACAATGTGACCAGTTACTTCCACTATCACCATTGAGCCTCTTGTAGTGATGGGCTGTCACCGGGGATTGTGAGCTAAAATAAGCCCCTTCTCTTCCACATTGCTTGTGATTAGGATGTCTTCTCACAGCAACAGAAATGAAGCTAGAATAAGATGATTGCACTTCTGCATCATTAATTCTTTTCTTAGCTACTGAGCCTACAAGCGGTGTCCCATTCCCCCGAGAAGCTGGCAAAGGATTCCACCCGTTTAGTTGTGGTGGATCCTCAGACTCTCTCGCATCCTGGTAGACCAGAAGAAACCCATTTTAAGATCTGGCACATGCTGATGTAGCTTTCCCCTCTTCTAACGTGGAAGATATTTCCATTGGAGTCTGCTGAAAATAAGAGGCCCCTTAAGTGAGAATAGTTTATTTTGACTCATGGTTTAAGAAGAGGTTAAGAATAGCTACAGTCTATCCTTCTTGAATTTCGATGCCTTTACTTTGACTTTGTCTGTGGGAAGGACAGGTACTCCCTTCACCTCTTCCTTCTTCACTGTG